CCTGCTGAATTTCCTTAGGGGTGATACCAAGCTGTGTCCTTGCAGGGGAACCCAAGAAAGTCGTCGTGTTGGTTGGGGGTTTGGAGCAAAGTGTCCCACGACTTAGAAGAGTGCCCTAAACATGGCATTACAGAAATAGGCGAAGATTGGGTATTTAATTGTCTGGTTTTGGACGTGTTCTACTTTACATACTAGCTTATTATAGAATCACAGACTGGTAGAATAATTCGGGTTAGAAAGGTCAGGCGGTCTCTAGTCCAATCTCCTGTTCAAATCAGGTCAGACCAGGCTGCTCAGGGCTTTATCCAGTCAGGCCTTGAAAGCCTACTGGGACTGAGACTACAGTAAACATTTGTGATGGACTTACATCTTGGTGAAGAAAAGCATAGTAATGCTTTTAAGTATTAAAAGATCATTTTATTTGGAAGTACAGAAAAATATAAAAACTTCAAATATATTTATATGTATGTTACTGTTATATCAGTGTACTGTTATATGCATATTCGATTACTGTATCTCACATCAGTTCCAGAGAATTTACTCAGCATGTAGCAGAGACAGACCATTGAACGACTGTGGGACTGATTCACTTCATCCAGACGTCTTTTTCTGTGTCATAAGGACTGGCTGAATGTAGGAACTTACACTTTCTGTTGCCAGATGCAGCACAGCTGGTTGGCTATGCAGATAGGCTGCTACAAGACAGATTCCTTGGGTGCCAGTACGGACTGCGGACAGGGGGCCAGTTGTCAGGGTACTCATCCGCATAGTGGGAGAGTTGATCTGTAGTTTCTGTCTCTGTGAACCGGCTTCACCAGAAGAGATTGAGATGATGGAACTCGGGACTCCTGATAAACTGGTGCTCAGAGCTCTCCCAAGAGGGGGCAGCTGTAGATTTAACCAGATACACCTATGTAAAAGGTCTGATTTATTGGTGTTTGGATGAAATGGCAGCTTTTTCTGCATGGCACTGATGTGGCAAAGACGTTGTTACTTACTGGTTTTGAGTGATACGGAATCTGGTTGTGAATTTGCTCAGCAGCAGAAATTTGCCAGCTCAGCTCTCTATAGATGCCAACCCAGTGGCCAGGGAATTGCATGCGCTGGCCAGGTTAGACAACAGCAGAACCAAGAACTTAAAAAGATCCACATTTTAGATGAATGGGTAGTGTTAAGCGCTTTTTATCCTTCGAGTAAGTGAGTAAATTTCCTATACACAGAGCTCCTGAGCATTGGTCAGCAGACCCTTTAAGTTGTTGCAGAACATCAGGTTCTCATCCCTCTGTACTTGAGTATGTCATTTGATTTAAATACTGAGCTGCCATCCTCAGCTGGTTTCCGGTGCCAAAATCCATGACACACTCCCTTTAGTGAGGCTCAGATATAAGAAGTTGCCTGGTTTAATCTAGTTTCAGGATCAAGGCTGTTAAGGAGAACAGTCACAACCATTATTCAGAATATACAAGTTTAAAAAAAAAATCAACATGAAGAGACAGTCCTTCTTCTCTCTAATCATTCTGAGCAGATGCTTAGTTTTACATGTAGCAGGCTGGGTGTGTGTGATGATAGCTTTTCTATAATTAACAATCTTTTTGTAGCTCTTGTAAAAAGTTGTCATTCCAGAGGAATAGGTAAAAGCCAGCGAACTATTTCATTCAGGGCTGAGGGTGTTGATAATGTGGTGCTGTCTCTGTAGCCCTTCAAGCCTGTTGGCATTTCATTACCATTTCAGAAGGTGTGCTATCAGAAAGCCAGAATTCAGGAATAACACCAAGTGCTCATTTAGGGCCCCAAATACAAGGAGGAGGTACTTGCTTCACCATAATTAGCAGAGACCAGCCCTTTTTCTAATACTGATTAGCTCTGGTGTCCCATTGGAGGGACTAAGTGAATTCCCTCCCCTCTTTGCTCCTTTCTCTGTCCAATTAACCCTTGTCCTGACTGTTTTCACAGAATCACAGAATCTCCTAGATTGGAAAAGACCTATAAGATCATCTAGTCCAATCATTAACCTAACGCTGACTAGCCCACCACTAAATCGTGTCCCTAAGCACTGTATCTACACGACCCTTTCTGTTGAGGAGCTTGCTGTGCTTAACCTTTCTGCTGTCACCTCAGATTGACACGTGAGGTGGCCCCACTCACTGCGCTTTACTCACTGAGCGCCACAGTTAAGTTGCAGGCAGAAAAGCAAAGTTTGTTGAGAGCCACTTTGCCAAGTGCCTGTGAAGCAGCACGTGTCAGAAGTACAAGCAAAGAACTGCCACTGTAAAGCTGACAGCGAGGAGCCAGACATCACAAATTCTCAGCTCTGTAATCACTGATGTATTTAAACACCTAAGATTCAAGTGAATTTATACCACAGGCATACATACGTATGGGGTACACCGTATGGGAGAGCACGACTCGGTGGTCCTCAAATACAGCTGCAGGCTGGCTGGTACGGCCACCCAGCCAACGCGGTGCTCTAGGGACAACCTCACTCCTTGATGCAGGGCAGCTGGGCTCGGGCTACTATGAGATATGAAATAATATGAAAGCTTTGACACTACTGCAGGGTTGATTTGCTGGGGTGCATGGGCACAGCAGGATCAGCGTGGGCTCACCTATACGCTAGGCTGTCCATAGCCCTTGAAACTTTTAATCTTCCCTCTGTCTAGGTGTGTGCGGCACAAAGATGTGCTATTTATTTGCACTTTTAGTAGGATGATTTCTTAGCGCAGCTTAGCTTTCCATTCCCTTTCAGCCTTCTTTACCTTGTCCCTTCTAACAGTGAAGCCTTTCTGTTGTCCAGTTACTATTTCAGCATTTATGTGCTGTGAGCCCTACTGCGGTGGCATTTTAGACTGGGTCAGCCTTGAGTCAGGCATTGAACAAAGCAAGGAGGAACGCCCCTGCCTTCAGGTCAGTTACTCACAGTCCGTCTCCCAGCTTCTGTATTCTGTTGGTCACTGGAAATTCTCCAATGCTTTTACTTCTAGACATCTTAGGGCAAGACTCTGATAGGCTTATACTCATAACAGTGGGATGTCCTATCTCACGGGTAGTTCCTCTCGCCTCTATAAGGCTATTGATGCAGAAAGCTGCAGCATGTGATAGCACACCCATGTCCCTCCTGCCTTCCCCCCCTCCGTTTGCTGCTACTTTTTAGTTAATAATACAGTTTACTTAATAGCCAATCTCTTTTATTTGCCTCTTTGGGACTTCAGAAAAAAAAAAAAAGGCCATATTTCTGGCATGTATTTGCTTGGTCAGCACATTTCTGCAAATACAAACGACCAGGACTCTCTTAAGAAAATACCATTTCCCAGTTGGCCAGCAGAGAGAGCAGTCAGCATTCAGTGGACGTGCGGGTTGGGACGCTCAGCCAGAGGCGCTCTCCTGCACGCTCAGCCCTGCCAGTAGCTGTTACAGTAAAAGAAAAGTAATTCTGACATCAGTGCAGAGATGATCTGTATCTTGCAAGGTTGTGGCTAATGGGTTATGTATTGCCCTTGACTGCCTGAGTCTCATGTCAGTGCAAGTCCTTCCTGCACATCAAGGACTATATGTGAGCATCGCCAAAGCACCCACTCATTTTTTGGGATCTGTTCAACATTCGCAATCCCTGCCGAAATGGGTGCGTGACACCTTAGATTATCAGATTAATTGCTTTGCTATCAATACATGGATTTCAGGGGCTAAATTTAGGGACCCAGGACATTGCAATTTGATCTGCGCTATTAGCTAAGCTGCAGGGAGGCACCAGGGGCCATCTGTATGAATCAGATTCCAGGATGAGAGCCCATGTCAGGACATTTTGACCTGCGTGGCCTCCTCTCCTCATCGTCCAGCCACAGCCTCGTGTGTGTACTGAAGCACTGTTGCTCTCTGCACAGCTACTGTAAAATGGCCATCTCTGGGCTCCACTTTTGTTAGAATAACTTTCGTCCAAATTTTTTTGGTTTATGGTGTCGTAGTTTTTTCCCCCACCTTTTCACCAAACGTGGGTTGCGGACTGAATGACCTGAGAAAGCTGTAGCAGGGAATAGGCAGAAGGTGTGAAAAACCCACCGAGTCCCTGCAGTAGTCACAGTTACCTCCCACCGGCTGCTTTGCAGAACCATTACCAAGACACCATTCATGACCCAGGTGGTGGCTGTCCCCCGCAACTGGCACAAACCACACTGCCAGAGCGGAGGCCCAGCATCGCTTCACACATCACCTGGCTGAGCAGATAGCTGCAGGTTTGGTGGGGTTGCTCTCCTATGACACTTTGGATTCACAGGCTTGGAGAAT